AAAGCAAAACTGAGTCACTAATACGAAAACATCAGTTTACAACAACTAATTCCTTGCTAGTTGCTACAGATTCAAATCGACACAATAAATTGTTGAAACATTCTTGTATTCATAATAGCCAATTCTGAAATCAATCGTTCTACATTTTCAAACTTTGAATTTCACGAAATGTTATCTCAGTGGGAAGAGATAAGAAAAAATACCTCAATGAAGCTACTCATTCTCAACAGCGAAAACCCATAACGCAAGAACAAGTACAGATCATTCACCCAAGAGATAATCTTATCCACAAAGGGTAATTTGATACCGGAAGCAAAAGTTTTGAAGACGAACTTCTTCCCATCCCAGATTCCAATCGCGGAAGATTCTTCAATCGCCGTCGGCAATCGAACCGTCAAATTGAACCTCTCGACGAAATCTCGAGCGTGGTAGTTCTTCGGATGCAGAATCGAAGCACCGGCCTCGAACGTATCACCGGAGACGTTAAYGGTCCTCATGCGTCCACCGACTATCTCGTGACGCTCAAACATCAGGACCCGAGCTCGATCCAAGCCCGTGGAAACAGAGTAGTTACGGAGGAAGTGAGCTACGGATGATCCTCCGATCCCACTTCCGACGATACATACAGTCGGCGGAGATTTATCGTCGACGACGGTAGAATCGCCGGAGCAAAGTAGAAGAGACGGCGATAGGAGAGCGAGGAGAAGGGAGATTGATATCGGAGAGAAATTCATTTTAGTCAACTTATTGACTTTTGCGCTCTTACCGATCTAGTTTACAGGCCCAATCCTGCTGAAAGTGAAGAAGACTAATCTAATGGAATTATTATTTTATAATTTCCAAAGTATAATCTCAACAAAGTCAAACACTCGGGATGTTTTAGAGTGGAAAGAATTTTGGTTGTAATCCTACATTTGAATTTATCTACTTGTAGATTTAATCGATTAATGAATAAAAAGTGTGTTAAAAGTTGAAATCTTCTACTCTATGTTTAGACCTCTTTCTTATGATAAAATTTAGCTCCAACACTCTGTATTAATGAAATTTATCTGTTGAAGAAAAATAATTTTGTAATGTTAAGATTGGTAATTTTACAGGAACAATTGTAATCATTTTTGTGGTAGACTAGTAGTTTGTGTGTCTCAGTTATTGATTACTCCGTATTTTTCTTAAGATATCATTAATGAATTTTGGGCCTTCCACAAAATTGAGGAACCTCCAACATAATTTAGCAAAACAAATGGGTTTATTTGTAATTTCGGAAAATTTCCCACAAACGTCGTCCCCTTTTGTTTTTTTTCCCCGGTCGGTCAAAGCCTCCTCAAGAGCGGGAAAATTCACTTTCTGAAAAAAAAAAAAATCGAAATTGCGAACCGTTAGGGCTTTTCTCCGGCGATGTCGCGACGAGGCGGTGGACCCGTGACGGTGTTGAACGTAGCGGAGAAACCTTCCGTGGCGAAGTCAGTCGCGGGGATTCTATCCCGGGGAAGTTTCCGGACTCGGGAGGGTAGGTCTCGGTATAACAAAATCTTCGAGTTCGATTACGCCATCAATGGCCAACCATGTCGCATGCTTATGACCTCCGTCATCGGTCACCTGATGGAGCTTGAGTTCGCCGATCGCTTCCGCAAATGGCACTCGTGTGACCCGGCAGATCTATACCAAGCTCCGGTCATGAAATACGTTCCCGAGGTATTTGATGTCTCGTGTATGTAATTGTATGGGTGTGTGTAATTTCGGGTGGTTGATTTAGTCTCTATGCTTCTCTAATTAGAAATTGGTGCTTGAGTCTCGTTGTTCTTGACATTTTGCTAATTGCAACTGTACACAATGGACCATGACCTTTGATTCGCCTTGTGATGAAGTTGGGTTTCAAGTTTTGTTTAATTCTGGGCTTGAGTTTGGTAGGACAAAAAAGATATAAAGAAGACACTGGAGGAGGAAGCAAGGAAAAGCGATTGGCTTGTGTTGTGGCTTGATTGTGATAGGGAAGGTGAAAACATTGCATTTGAAGTTGTAGATGTTTGTAGAGCTGTTAAACAAAATCTTTTTATACGGAGGGCTCATTTCTCTGCGTTAATTGACAGGTAGAGAATACTAAACCTGTTATTCTTCATATGTTTTCTCTTACTCACTCTACTTAAAACCATAGAACCTAGTCTAATGGTGTGTTGGCATTTGAATTTATAGGGAAATTCATGAAGCAGTACAAAATCTCAGGGAGCCTAATCAATTGTTTGCTCAGGCTGTAGATGCTAGACAAGTGAGTTTCTCCTGAAATCCCTGTAATGCATATGCATTAATATTCTCTACATTTGTATTAGCTAATATTTTCTTTTGAATACTTTAGGAAATAGACCTACGCATTGGTGCTTCTTTCACTAGATTTCAGACTATGCTGCTGAAAGATAGGTTCTCTATTGACCCCACGGGTGGTGAGGAGAGGAGTCGTGTTATTAGTTATGGTCCTTGTCAGGTAATTTTGATACCAGTGCCAATAAGTTTCAGAACTATCAGTCCCATTATGTATATCAGAGTCAAGGTATGCATTGTTTTCATGCTGCTAGGTTTGATATTTTTCTGCTTCAACTGCAGTTTCCTACACTTGGATTTATTGTAGAGAGATACTGGGAGATCCAGGCACATGAACCAGAAGAGTTTTGGACAATCAACTGTTCTCACGAATCACAAGAAGGCCTTGCCACCTTTAATTGGATGTACTTTTACCAACTTCCATGCGTATCTTTGTTTCCCGGTCTATTTTCCTTGAATGTGGCATTGATATGATTTTTATTGCAGGCGTGGTCATCTCTTTGATTATGCTTCAGCTGTCATATTATATGAGATGTGTGTCCAGGAACCTACTGCCACGGTGAGTAAAACAAGAAACATCTTTATCATCTGATACTGCATCTTCTACTTAATATTCTGTGTCCCTAACAATCTCCTTCCAGGTAATGAATGTCCCACATCCAAGGGAAAAATTTAAATACCCTCCTTATCCTTTGAACACCATTGAACTTGAAAAACGCGCTTCAAGATACTTCCGCCTGAGTTCAGAGCATACTATGAAGGTCTGAAGAGTATTAGATTGGTTCACATGATTTTTTTTTCTATGATTTTTCTGGCCTATTATTAGGACTTCTTGTTTCCCAAATAATGTAAATCCTATTGTATCTTGGTATAGTTTTATTCTTTCTTGTGGATTGATTGGCTTTTTGATTTGCAACTAGATCTCTCTGTTTAATAACATCAACAATGTATGGATAGGTAGCAGAAGAGTTATATCAGGCTGGTTTCATCAGCTATCCTCGTACAGAGACCGATTCTTTTTCGAGCAGGACTGATTTACGTGTGGGTAACTTTTTCTCATGAGCCGAGAAGCTTTATTTGGAGTTTATGATTTACTTCGATATTTTGGTTGTAATTTTAGTCTCTTAGGATCTCTTGTTGTGTCTAGGCTATGGTGGAGGAACAAACAAGACATCCTGCATGGGGTCCATATGCACAAAGACTACTAGAACCTGAGGGGGGCCTCTGGAGAAACCCTGGGAATGGTGGTCATGATGACAAGGCTCACCCTCCCATTCACCCAACAAAATTTTCTAGCGGAGAGTCTAACTGGAGCAGAGATCACCTCGTAAGTATGGCTGTCAGTTTGGTTAACATACCCAAGCATAGGTATGCTACTATTTTTCTTTTCTTTTGAGCCAACGTGTTTTTTTTTTCACTTTTCCAGAATGTATATGAGCTAGTTGTCCGCCATTACTTAGCATGTGTTTCCCAGCCAGCAGTTGCTGCTGAAACTACAGTCGAAATTGATATTGCTGGCGAGCGCTTTTCTGCATCTGGGAGAGCAATATTAGCTGTAAGACTCTTGACTCGCTACTGCAGTCTTGATTTCTGTGGTTATGCTAAAATGAAATGTAAAGTTGCTTTGCTTGTTAAGGTGTTTCTCTGTTTTCGGTAGCGCAATAAAACTGTTTTGGATACTGACCTTATTTTTATTTGTGTTACTAGAAAAATTACCTTGAGGTATATCGCTTTGAGTCATGGGGAGGTTCAGTGATTCCAGTGTACGAGAAAGGGCAGCAGGTTTGGTTCTCTTTTTTTCTTTCTTGAATCTGCTTTTAGTAGGTTGTTTATCTCTATCTCTCAGCATAGCCTCATTTGAACAAACTACTTTGTCCTTGCGTGCAATTTGTGCAATTTGCATTCCATAACTACTAAACTATAAGGCAATGAAGGGCATAACTTTCTGCATTGTGGTTTCTAGTTGAATGTGAAACTGGCGTCATTATGATTATTAAAGTGGCTCAAATTTTTTATTGCTTCTAATGTGGAGAAGCAATCACAGCTTGCTAATTTCTTGGTAATGTGCAGTTTATCCCAACACGTTTGACTCTTGATTCAGCGGTAACAAGGCCACCACCACTATTGTGTGAAGCTGACTTACTGAGTTGTATGGACAAGGTGATTAAAACTGTCTTGTTTGCCCCTCTTTTCATGGGGGTGTTTACATATTCTTGTTGATCAGTCCCTAAATTTCTCATCCGATCATGTTTGTAACTATTTATTATCCGACCTTCTTGTGACTTGTAGGCAGGCATTGGCACCGATGCGACAATGCACGATCACATAAAGAAACTCCTTGATCGGGGTTATGCTACAAAAGATGCTAATACGCGGTTTTCTCCAACCAATCTGGTAGCTGATATGACACAAACTTTCTAATTTATTTCCCATTGTCTTTTTTATTCTATATAATATTTTATATTTTCGTGTGGATATAGCTCAGCCCTTTAGAGTGTATCCATACGTTTGATTAGTACTATTCATATAGTCAAGAATTATTCAATGTCTATTTGTGTCTCTCAGCATTATGTTTAGTTGAGATATTTTCTCTGTGTCGTAAAGAATGCTCTTCTTTAAGGTCAAGCATTTTCTGAATTTGCTCCTCCACAAGAGAAAATGTTGATTAATGGATGTGAAACATGTGTTGCTTTACCAGTGAGAATGCCTTAAGAATTAGGAAGCTCATATTCTGGGTCTAGATCAACTTCATACCGGTAGCAAAACTGTTGTTTGGACTCTTAACTACATAAAACATCTTGATGAACTTTATTTGGTGGAGCTATAGCAAAACTGGGTATCTATGTAATGGTAATGTTATCTGAGCTCTTAAGCATATCAGACATCTGAATTAGCTTTATCTGCTGGAGTTATAGCAAAACTATGACTATTGCCTCTCCCTGGGTAATATAGAATTCATTTCTGTTGTTAGCCCTTTGTATGTCTGTTCAACGTTTCTGAAGTTACGTTACTGTTCTGATCTAAATTTACAGGGCGAGGCGCTTGTTATGGGATATGATGACATGGGGTACGTATAAGCCTGCATGTGATGTTATAACAATTTTTCCTTATATCTAGAACAACTTAGAGGCTGATACGTATTCCTTTAGTTAGGATATTACCTTTTTAATTAGGAATACGCATCAGAGGCTCCTTATATTTGTGGCTTTGAATCATATTCAAAACTGATGAAGAAATGCCTAGTCTTTATATTAAGGGCCTATCTATGCTGGAGAGCCCCCTAAGAATTTGATGTGTTCTTGTTGCCTATGTCAGGTATGAACTTTGGAAGCCAAATCTCAGATCCATCATGGAACATGATATGAATGAAGTTAGTGTTGGAAACAAGACTAAAGCTGATGTTCTTGAAACTTGTTTGCAGCAAATGAAAGCTTGTTTCTTAGATGTGAGTGAGCTTT